TGCTATTGTAATCTCCAAGAAGAGAGGATTAGAATGGTGTGCTTACGAAGCCTGTATCTCCTCTTGTTCTTAAGATATACTGTTCTCTATTTTTAGTAACTAGAAATGTTCTAGACCCTCTGCTTACAAATAGAGTAGCCTACCCTATGAGATGCTGACGTATACGATTACGCATGCACCTACGTAATCTTGCTTGTATATGCAGTAATACTAAGCATAGATAAAGTAGACCCACCTAGAGGAGTCTAGAACGTTCTGCTTAGAAATATAGACAGAGGAGAGGAAGCATAAATACCTCTAGCTCTCCCCCCTCTGTTCGCTCTGTACCTAGCCTAGGAATCTCTACCTAGTATCTAATATAATAACTTGTCTATTATATTACAAAACCCTACCTTACCTCTATTAGGCTATACGCTTCCTATTTAGACAAAGCTAGTCTAGATTTGTCTAGGTCCTTCTAGACTAGGAAGAAAGTAGTCTAGTCCTTCCCCTACTTTCTTTACACCTAAGTTATATATTACCTTTACCCTACCTTACCTCTATTACGTGTTACCCTACCTAAACTAGATAGGTAGGGTATGCTTAGGTACCCTACCCTACCTATACCTACAAATCACATGATTATACCCTACCTAACCCTACCTTACCTATCCGCCAGTCTACCTAGAGGGCAAGCTGTATTGCGGCTTCTTTTAGGGGCTTAGATTTGTGTTGTTGTTAAGGCATTAGGTTGTAAGGTAGAATATTAGTGTGGTCTTGGCGGAGTGATCGGCTCGCACGTATGATCGGCTCGCCCGTGAGGTACGTTATCTACTTCCTTAATATCCTTATTCGTTTCCTTGAACAGCAATATCGGATCTAAGTCAAAGTGCTTGCGCGGCAACGTTGAGCAATTAACACTAACGTACTCCACAAGCGAGTGGCTCACACAAGCGAGTGGCTCACTTTTGCCAAGACTACACCAACACTACAACTACTTTACAACATTACAGCACACAACAACAATATCATGTACTACACAGTATATTGCACTAATCTACAGTACTTTGCGCATCTTTCTTACACGTTGTCCTGTTGTGCCCTGCCTTGCCACACATGCTACAGTGTCTTAATAACTAAGTGCTGCTATTAGCGCCTCCTCTCTTCTTTACCTTCTTCCCATCACTACAGGCCTCAAACTCCTTTAGAGTAGTTAGCCGCACTCCCTTAGCAAAGGTTAATACCCCATCTTGCTATAATTGCTTTCTTTTGTGTGATTTACGGCGTGTGGCAGCCTCATTAGCTACCTGAAGGTTAGCAACCTGGTTGCGCACCAAAACCAGTGAATGCGCCATTAGCTCTGCGCCTTTAGTGAGCTGATTAAGGGCGTCAACCATTGATGTTGGTGAGCTATCAGCGTGTCTCTAGATCCTCTCTCAAATCAGCTTCAATTAAGACCCAAATTCCAGGGTGTTGCTTGGTGTCTTAGACTCCCACGTGCTGTTGTCTACGATAGGTGGCGTTGGCGTGCGTAGCTGTACTTTAAGCTTCAATATCACAGCCTCTAGGTTAAACGGGACTAGGCCAGCGCCTCTGAATCCTCCCTAGATGTTGCTCTTGGTAATTGAAGCATCAAAAGCAGCTTTGAAGCACGGCAAGAACTCAAGTTTGGTGATGCGAGTGATCTTGCTCCGCATCAGCTGCTCGGCTTGGCGGCCATAGGCCTTCTTTAATGGGGAGAAACAACCCACGTCAAGCGGCTGTAGCAGATGGGATGAGTGTGGGGGCATACACAGAGTGATAATCTTGTGCTCCTCACAGTACTGGTGGAATTCGACTGAGTTGTGGCTCTCGTGGCTGTCCAGAACAAGCAGTTAGTAGCTGCCAACAGTGCGCGCCTTTGTGTGCTCATCAAAGTGCTTTAACCACTTAACTCCAAGCTCATTGTTAGTCCAGCCGTTGTTAGAGACACTGATAACCTAGTTGTCAGGTATACTAGGCTCCTTGTACCAGGCTAAGAGGTGGTGCTTGCTAGAGAGGATAATGAAGGGTGGGATAGACCAGCCCTTTGCGCAGATGCCTTGGATAATGCTAGTCCACTCTCGGTCGCCCTGCTGCACTGTCTTTGGTCTCCCTCGACGCTCAGAGCCTGTGACAACAGCACCAGTAGATATAACGCCCATCATAAAGCCAGATTCATCAAAGTTGTGGGTGTCTTCATCTAGGATACCATACTTGGCTTTAGTATTCTCCACAAGCTAGAACCAGTCACCAATGACCTTAGGATCCTCACACAGCGCTCTCTTGTAGTCGTACTTGCGATTGAACTTGACTTTAAGCTCTGGCCGACGTTTAACAAAGTTGGCAGCCCAGTTCTTGCCAACAGGGGTCTGGTGGCGCTCAGCAAGCAGAGAATTGGCCATACCCTCCACATCAGTGAGTTGGGGTGAGAATCCTCGCTCATCCAGCCTCAACACGTGCTGGACAATTACCTCCTCTTCAGTGCTAGTCATCTTAATCATGTTAGGCTTGCAATCGCGTCGTGGAGAGGTTCCAGCAAGTCGGTGACTAAGTGTCCTTTGAGACACGTTGTAGATGGCTGCAGCGCGTCGCTGAGAGAGTGTCGCGTCTTGATAGATAGCCTGAAGAGCAAGCTGTATTCCTGCTTCCTTTGAGGGTTTGATTGTGTTGTTACGTTGAGGCATTGTAGGTAGAGTGAAGTTTGGTGTGGTCTTGGCAAAAGTGAGCCACTCGCTTGTGTGAGCCACTCGCTTGTGGAGTACGTTATGCTTTTTAGTTATTGTTCCGTAGCAGACTTCCTCGCTAAAGTCAAGAGCATCTAGCTGTGCAAGGGTTTCTTCTATAGTCATCGTGGCGTTGAGTTGTGGGGGGTGCAAAGTTGGGACGGAATCGCGATTGCGTGCATTGACTGACAGCGTGCATTGAGTGCACGGACACTGTAATCTACGCTAGGCATCGTAGTTGGACTTAATTAAGGCTCTCTTGATATTCTCAGAGCTTAGAGGTTACGGCGCAATTTCCTGACGAGCGCGCTTCTTAAAGTCTTCAAGGTTGACAATGCTAGCCCCTTTCCCCATCTTTTTCAATCACGTGCGTTAAGCGGAAGCTGATGTACTGAGAGTTTTGTACTGCACGCTGTAGCTGTAGCGGTAGCGGAGGAGAAGGGGGAAAAGGCAGGAAAGATAGGTCTCGAGAAGGCTGCGGCCTGCGTGCAAGCGGGACGCCATGGCAGGCAGCTTAGATAAGGGCAGTACGTTGTTGGCGATCGGGCGCTGTGAAAAACATTTACCCGAATCTCGTCCACAGTTTGGTGTTTAGCGCGCATGAGAGAGCAAGCAGATAGGTCTACCTCTTGTGCAGACGGCGGGTGGGGCAGAAGAACTTGTTTTCAACGTCCTACGGTCGTATGTGGAGAAATAGTGTTGTAAAAGCATGAATAACACTAAACACTGTTATATCGTGTCTAGATGGAAGCGCGAGCGGACCTCCTCCGGAATCAATGACGAAGAACAGGGCAGCAATACTGGCTGAAGTCCCCAGGGCCACCGTCTACTTCTCAAGCGCTGCCAAGGCACAGTACTGAGTAACTCCGAAGTTTCTGGCGTAGCAGACAGCTGAGAGCTTCGGCCGGTCAAATGCAGTGTAACGTGATTTTGAAACCTTAAATTCACCATTTTTCTTAAATGTATACGCACATCAGCATTCCTCAAATGTCTCTCCGTCCCCGCCTATAAATTGCAGTGTCTAGATGCAAAAGAGTTCAATGCAGCTCACTTCCAGCTTTTATCTTATCGTACTCCTCCAAGATCGCTACAGTTAAAACTTTGTACTCGGAAATACCTCTCCTTGATCCCACTGCATCTACCATTAGCATCTTTTCGTTCAATTCGGTTGTCCAGTTAGACTCACATGCTCAGCAATACACCCACCCTCCCACCGAAACCGATCTACAACCTTCCCAAAAGCCGCATTGTCATACTCCAACCAACTCTGAGTACCCTGGAAAGTCGTTCTCAGAGGCGTGATGTTCTGACTTGCCCAAATGGGCGATAAGATACCCCAGGCCGAATCTGATCCGTTTTTGGCGAGGGGGTTGTGGTTCTGTAGGCGTTGTCAGTAGGTGAAAGAAATTGGGAGGTTTTAATGGAATCCAGGGCGTACAATGTAGTCCGAGACGATGTATGTGAATGCTTCGGTGATGTTCTGGGTGTAGATGAAGGCGCGCGCGAATGCGCAGGAGCGCTCCTCGGTCTGCAATGCTGTGGTGGAGAGGTCGCGGATACATGGTGGAGGCTTCACCAGGGCTGTCTGTCGCTCGACCAAGGCTTTACTAATGTCTGCTGGCGCAGCGAGGGTAGCAAGTGGCGCCGCGAGCGCGGTGAGGTAGAGTGTGAAGTGCATTGCGATGGTGTTGCTCTTGTTTGTATTACGGATGTCGTGGGCCTAAGTGGGCGTACACTGTTTCTGTATGCGAGACTGAGACTCTTTATATCAATGCAGAGAGCTGACAGTTCAGTCCGCTTTTATCACGGTTTTAGTCGCGGGTGTATTTCGGTATTACGGCAGGTGCGAAGTACAGCCGCGTTTCGAACGTCGGCAGTTGAAATTGCAGAGCTGTCTGCTGAATTGCTTGCTTGCATAATCGCGCGGTGATCCGAAGTTGCAGTACCGTGGTACAGGCGGAATGAGATGTTGAGCAGTGATTCGACGCAATCCGTAGAACGTACCGAGCACTTTGGGTGGTATTGTTCGGGAAGCCATAGGCTCGATATCAATCTTCGGCCTCTCTCTCTCATGGCCTATTAAGACATGCCTATCTTGCCTTTCACGAACAAGCAAAGTGGCGTGAACGTCGCCCATGGTACCATGATCCCTGGGTCTCCGATCCGGTTATGTTTGGTGCTGACAAACGCCCTGGATAGCAAGAACAGAACTGAAGATCTTCCTGCCGTCTCCTGCATTGCTTTAGCTTGGTATGCAGGTTTCCAGTATATCTCCTTTTCAGTGTGTTTCCTGGACACTCTCGAATTCCGATGCAGCGCCGCAGGTTGCTAGGGGTGTGCAATTAATCCCTCAACGCTGTTGTCCAGTCAGAGATACGAAGGTATCGTATTAACAGCGATCGAAGCAGAGTCGCAAGGCACTAGCCCGCAGATGCAAGGTCCATCTCAATGCGGTACAATGTTGATGTTGTTAGTGATCAAGTCCGGTGGCTGCTTGGTTTGATGGTTTTCGGGCGTGATCGCGCGTCGCGAAATGACGTCCTTGACATGCGTCTAGCGCGTTCTTCCGCGCGCCTGGAGACGATTGCCAATTGCAACCCTACTGGGGATAACATACCCTTCTGTCGCTCTTGTTTATATCTTCTCCTTTTTGCCTAATATTTGAGGGTTCGACACCTGCAAGATGAGTGCTTCTTCGTTCACAAGCGCAAAGTCGGATCCCACACCAGATTCCTCGCCGCCGCCAGCTAAAATGGACGACGACAATGTATCTAAGGACATGCAGGACGAAGAGGCGCGTATGCGAGCACAACGCGAGAAGCAGGACGCGAAACGCGACGCGGATTTGGAGAAAGAGAGGCAGGAGGACATCAAGAGCGGCAAAGACATATTGGACAAGAAGTTTCAGCAGTTGGAGTTTCTGATGAACAAGAGCAAGGTGGGCAGCATAAAAACTTCAGCGGGCGCTTAATTGCTGACTTGGATATTTGCAGCTCTACGCGACGGTGATGCTGCAGCAGATGCAGCGCCAGGAAGACGAAGAAAAGGTCCAAGACGAGAAGACGGACGGCCAGGCCTCGAAACGTGAAAAGGATGCCGAGACAGCGGCTGCAGAGTCACAACGACGCGCAACACGAAGATCGGGCGCGAGTGGCGCATCGATACCCGATTCGAAGGCAGACACCGCGACGAAGACGCGTGGGCGGGGACGCCCGAAGAAGGAGAACTCGAATATCACAGACTACTTCAAAAAGGAAGACCTCAAGAACAAGGTTGAAGACGACGCGGTAGAAGACGATAAGAACAAGGACAATGTCAAGACTGGCAACATCGGCATGCAAGATCTCAAGTCTGCGCGCCAACCGAAGCTCGTCACAGGCGGTACAATGCGATCATACCAGCTAGAGGGGCTGGAGTGGATGTTGTCGCTGTATCAGAATGGCATCAATGGTATCCTGGCCGATGAGATGGGCTTGGGCAAGACAATCCAGACTATCTCCATGCTTGCGCATTTATGGGAGAACAACTCGTTCGGACCCTTCCTGATAGCTGCGCCGCTCAGCACAACGAGCAACTGGGTCGCCGAGTTTAAAAAGTGGACGCCGAGCATACCCGTGCTGCTGTACCATGGCGACAAGAAAGAGCGTGAGAGGCTGCGTAAGACGCATCTCAAGAATCCTGGCACGAAAGACTTCCCAGTCGTTGTCACTAGCTACGAGATCTGCATGAACGACAGGAAATTTTTGACACATTTTGGTTGGCAATTCATCATCATTGACGAAGGTCACCGTATCAAAAACCTAGACTGCCGCCTCATTCGCGAACTTCAGCAATTCCAGTCAGCAAACCGTCTTCTAATCACCGGTACTCCACTACAGAACAACCTGGTCGAGCTGTGGTCTCTGCTCCATTTCCTCCTGCCAACAGTGTTCGACAAGCTGTCAACGTTCGAGAGCTGGTTCGACTTCTCGGGCTTGAAGGACAAGTCGAGTTTCGAGCAGCTCTTATCCGAGGAGAGACAGCAGTATCTGGTCAAGTCACTGCATGCCGTGCTCAAGCCTTTCCTACTACGACGTGTCAAGACCGACGTAGAGTCTCTGATGCCGAAGAAGCGCGAGTATGTTCTCTATGCGCCCTTAACACTGATGCAGCGCGAATTGTACCAAGCGATTCTAGACGGTACGAGCCGGTCATATCTTGAGGAAATGGCTGTTGAGAGACTCAGTGTCGGCCTTACAAGCAGAGCGGGCACATCCCTCAGCATTCGAAGCAATAACAGTCTCAAGCGCAAGGCTATCAGCGGTGCCAACACGCCCAACAAGAGCGCGAAGTCGTCCTGTGCAGGGAAACCTGCGTCGGTGACTTCCACGCGCGGTCGCGGCAGAGCTAAGAGGAACTATGAAGAGCTTAGCGATGACGAGTACTTCGCAAACATCGCCAAAGACGAAGCCACACCAGAGAAGGAGGAAGAGCTCGATCCCGAAGGCGAAGACGAGCGCATCCGCGCCGCAACCTTCGAAATCGCAAAACGTCAACTCCTCCAAAAGAAACTCGGTAATCCCATCATGCAACTGCGCCTATGTTGCAACTCACCCTACAACTTCTTCAACCCCTTCCTCAAAGCCGAAGTCGAGGACGGCGAGACCTTTGCGTCAGACACAGATCCCGATGAGACCCTCGTCTCCACCTCCGGCAAAATGCTACTCCTCGACTCCCTCCTCCCTCCGCTAATCGACGGCGGCCACAAAGTCCTTATTTTCTCTCAATTCACCACAACCCTCGATCTCATCGGGCAGTATCTCACCCTCCGCTCATGGGCACACTCGCGCATTGATGGCAGCGTGGCACAAACAGACCGACAAGCGCAGATCCTCGCCTTCAACAAGTCAAACAGTAAGAACGGGACGAACATATTCATCCTCTCAACGCGCGCAGGTGGCCAGGGTATCAACCTCGCCGCCGCCGATACAGTGATTCTGTTCGACAGCGACTGGAACCCCCAGCAGGATTTGCAGGCCATGGATCGTGCGCATCGCATCGGGCAGACGCGCAACGTCATCGTCTACCGCTTCGCTACGCGCAACACCGTCGAGCAGAAGCTTCTCGAGTCAGCGGAAGCCAAGCGCCGGCTCGAGAAACTCGTCATCCGCAAAGGGGGCGTGCGAAACAACGCAGGCAGGGGCGTCGAGAAAGAACAGGAAGTAGAAGAACTGCAGAAGCTGCTCCGGAGGAGCGACGGCGAGAAATTCGATATCGCCGGGGAGGGTGAGGGGAAGCTCTTCAGTGACGATGATCTCGCTGTCTTGCTTGATCGAAGCGACGATGCGTATGAGAGGGCTGAGAAGGGACTGGATGTGGGTGGTGATGGGCACGCGTTTCAGGCTGTGGAGAAGAGGGAGGAAGGCGCGCTTATGGAGGGCTTGAGAGCTTGAGCAAAGCAGGATACTAGTATTTGCATATCAATATCGAGCATCAGCGTCATACTGCGATCTTCTGAATCTAGTAATTCCAGGTCCCCATCATCTTGCGTCTCGTACACGGTACGACTGCATCTGATTGTAGTCAGAGTAGAATGTCTCTATTTACATCCCGTGTACGAGACTGAACAGCACATGAATGAATATTGAACTCATGTTAGTTTCCGCGCTCACTCGAGTCGGCCATGCAGACCAGTTCCATACAAGATTTCTGCGTGAAGTCTTCTGCTCTTCACACTCCCCTGGCCTCAATTTTCTTGACTTCTTGTTTAAACTCACACAAGGCCTTCGCATTTGCGTTTCCACAACATTGCGGACATTCCCTGCCATGAACGATAAAAAGGTAGTGCAGCGCGAACTTGAGCTCCACCGGGATCATCGCGTCCAGATGAGCCTGCGCCTTCTCACGAGATGCGTCCTTCGGTCTCCATCCCCACAACCCGGTGATAAGGTGAATATGCGTGTCAACGGCGAAACTCTGCCTCTGCAAACATATACTCATCCTGTAGCGGTCAGCACGAGGCGGACCAGAGACACGATCGCGACGATCATCAATAAATCATCATACCACCTAAGATCTCGTCAAGCACATACTCTGGCTCACAGTACGAGAATCTGACACAACGCAGCTGGCTGGTCAGTCCCACCATTCCTTATCTTTGCTGGCAAGTACCACCTCTCTGCCTGGTACAAGGAGGATATCCCACGCAACTAGGCAATTTTAGTTAGCAACAATGGCTGGACAAATAACAAGCTAGGCGTAGAGTGGCTAAAGCACTCTAATGCTCACACAAAGACTCGCGTTGTTAGTGCGCGCTGCCTTTAAGTTTAGTACCGTGCCGGAGCTCGTGCCGCACGGTTCCGCGTTCCGCACGCAGCACCCACCTCACGCACCATAGCAAAATGAGGCTGTAGAAACAGCCACAATAGTAATTATCACGAGGTTTGTTAGTATTATAGTCAATTAATATATGCAATTCATTTGCCAAAAGCACTATTTATATAATGTTGCGGTGCGGCCGCTGCGGGTTGTGTGAGTGCCGCGAGGCGGAGCAGCCGCTGCAGCAACAGCACCACTTCGAGGCTGCGCAGAACGACGCTTTTTGGCTGCAGGTGCCTGAGGTGCTTTTGAAGCTTTGCGCTTGCCTTTGTTAGGCAATTGGCTGGCTTTTTGAGCGTCGCGAGCTTGTTTATCCTTGAGTCTTTGAGCTTTGCGAGCATCGATCGCTACGCGTTCCTCCGCGCACTTGCGGTCACGCACTTCCTTCGCCGCAGCAGCCGCCTCGCGCTTCTGTTCTTTGATCTTGTCGTTGTATAGCTTATTAGCAGCTTTAAGCTCTTTGACATTAGCCTTTTCAAGCTTCTCTGCATGCGCGGTCTCCTTTATAATCTGCTCTCTGTGGCGGGCTTCCTTGAACAATTGAGGCAACCACCACTTCGCGCCACCCCAGTAGTCTAATAATGGCTTAACTAAAGTGAGCGCTTTGCTTTTCTTATCCTGCTTCTTCTTAATTAAAAGCAACTCTGTAAGGCCTTGTACGTTATTGTTAAGCAGCTCATTCTTAATCGTGAGGTGGTGTACCTCGTGGCAGAGAGCTCTTGCTTTATTAGAGTACCTATTGCCCACAACAGAGTCTAACTTCCTTATTATTTTGCGTGCTGTTGTACCTGCCTTGGGCGGCGGAGGGGTGGACGGAGTGGCAGCTCCTTTGGGGAAGCGCTTGAGTACTTTATCGCGATTAAGCGGCTGAAGGCCTGTTGCCTTGAAGGCTTTAAGTATGTTGTCTTTAGTAAATAATTGCAGCCAAGCAGGCCAAAATAATAAGAAGAAGCTGCCTTTCTTCAC